GTCATGTGTGTAGTAGATTCATGTTCTTGCTTGCATATGAACTGCGGGTTGTTGCTACATTCAATTTGGTGAGTTTTCATCACCTTTAGGTGGGCCAATGTATTCATAAATGCACTAATGTTGAGCTGAGTGAAGATGCTACATTCATCATCACTTTCCCTATAAATAATGATTGATGAATTGTTGTATCTGCTTTGGACTTTTCAAATATGCCTCTATTGTCAGTTCATTGTAAATTAAACTCTTTTGTTGCTTATAAGGAGATCACTACCTCTGCCTGAGATCGAATTGTTGTTGACAATGTAGATAATACTACATTCATTATGTGCTCTTCACATTCCACTTGTGAGCATCTCATATTGCACTTTGATTACAGAGGTTCAGTGCATTTATCTCACATTCAAGTAATATTGATTATGCATGAGCTTTTGGTCTTCTTCATGGATGCATCATGATTCTCACTGCCACCATCCTGCCACCCATTGTTGCTTGCAAACAGTTAGCAGATCGTCGCATTCTCTACAATCCTTATTGATTGATTGTAGATGGTCATGTGAAATGTTACAAGTCTTCTGTCATCTTTTGAGGATGAATTGTGACATGTATGGTGAACTCATCTTCCTTCAACTTTGTCAATTGATACATGCAAGAAAATTGTACTGATGTTTCATTCATCATGAGTCCTTGCACACTTGCTTAATTTTCCTACTTCGTCGTTCATTTAAGTGTTGCTTAGTTCCAATTTGAGCCCTTCATTATTGTTTATTTGAGCCTTGTAATTTATCCATCTTAATTATGCTCAAATTGAGTTCATGTCCACTGCGGTCCCAAATCAAGTCTTCTTGAACTTTGTTCAAATGTTCAAATCTTTGTTCATTTCATTTGATTTTAAATCAAATGCGAGTTCAAGTCTCCTGTGGTCCAACCTTTTGTAGTTCATGTCATATTTGAGTCCAAGTCTTTGTTGTCCAATGTGGGCTCCGAAAATTCGGCCTCGGCCTCCACTCGCTTTTCTTATTCGGCGAGGGAGTTTTAACGAACTAAGTTCCGAGGTAAATTTTGGAAGGCAGATGGGTTTGTAGATAAGACACTACCTAGAGATTTCGCCCTCATTTTGCGAGGACTTTGTAATCTGAGTTCTGGTTTCCTATAGGCGCAAGCCCCTATAGTTAATTACCCCTCCCGATCACGAGAGAGAACTTTCGATTAAGGCTAGTCGTCAATCAGATACGTATAGAGATCGTGTTATCTGGCATATAGTAGCAGCAATGGATTTTGACATTGGTAGAAATTGGATTTGGAAATTGGGTTTGGATTTGGAAATTTGGGAAGTTTGGATATTTGGAAAGATTTAATATTTAAAATAGAAATTTCATCATCTTTCACTCAAAGTGGATGGTGGGGGAATGGATGATGGGCCCGATCAAGATCCCATGGTTCCGTCGTCCCGGACCATCTTGGTCCCTGGTCTACTTAGTCAGAGGAGGTAGTCGACCCAACCTAACAGAAGGATTCTTGTCGGCAGCCATGGGTTGCTTCGTCCAAGGGGACCTTGTAGACCGGGGGTGAATGTTTGTCTAAGGGGACAAATGTGAACCCACCTTAGCTTACAAAGGGCTTTATTCCCTATCGATCATATCCTATTGATTCATATCTCAAGGATTTGATGCCATTAAGGAGCGTATTGGCTCTGGCCATAACCGCTATCTGTGGTGCCATTTGGCGGCAAAACAACTCGGTTCAGAGGGCCCCGGGTCATAACCGTTTACCTGCAGTGCCATTTGGCGGCGAAACTGCCGGTTAGAGGACACGTACCACGCCCTTACTGGCAAGAGATTGTTTGAGAATGGATCCTAGTGATATTTTCGACTAGGCATTTGGCTCTTTGTGAGCAAAAGTAAATTTTGATTTGTCCACCCAGCAAACTGTTGCGGAGGGTGGATGGATTTTGCTTTGAG